CCGGCTGTCCCTGGCCCCGTCCCTGGCCCCGTCCCTGGCCCCGTCCCTTACATTCATTGCATTTCAGATCTTTCAACCATGGAGGCTCAGCGTCACAAAGTGGGCATTACCTATGGAACGCCTACTCCTCCAGACTGACACCCACCCATCAAGGCATCTTGTTATTTGCATAACTCCTCCCACTGCTTTCATCAGGGCTAAGGGCTCCTGAGAGGCGTACTAAGGCAGGGTGCTGTGATGTTTTCAGGAAGCTAAGTACAGCACCCTGCCGTCCCCTCCCACCAGCCATGATCTGCCTGCATTGTTTAGGGAACCATAGGGGCCCAGCCATGAGGTCTGAAATACTGCTTGTAATTTAATTTTAAATGTTATTAAAATGTTAACAAGGAGGGAGGGGCAAGGGAAGGCAAAATATAAGCAGATAAAAGTTCAGCTTTGAGATGGACTTCCAGTTGGAGCTTTTACGGGCCGGACTATCACCCCATCCCCAATCCCCACTGCTGTCACATGGGGTCCAGCAGATTCTACACATCAGACACTTCCAGCTGTTTATGATGCTTGCACGCCCGGGTTTCATCTGCTGGACCCCATGTGCCCAGCCCACTGCGCCCTGTAATAACAATGGTACAACGGGTGAGAACGAGTGGCGGAGGTGGTGGGTGAAAGTGAAAGTAAGAAGTGACAGCTGCTTTAACCCCTTGGCTCATGCCAAGCAGCCATGTCTAAGACTTGCCGATGAGACTTCCCTGCTAAGGGTTAACGTAGCCGAACACAATACGTGATACGCATCTCAGAAACACGCAACCGAAAATCAGCTTCCTACGCACCCCTCCGGGAAAACACTCAGTAAACAGATACAATGTCACAAACAATTTTCTCTGTCTCTCGGAACGCCGTACGAACAGATGTTTCCGTTACCTTCCAGCTCTCCGCTAGATGGCGCCGCGGGCGGGAACGCTCCGACTTTTCCTAAGAAAGCCTTGATGCCGGGGCCTTCCAGAGATCCTGCCGAGGCATTCTTGGGCTCTGCTTCTTCCGGGGCCTTAAACGGGTTCACCTTGGGTTTGGGGGGCACCACGGGTGCAAACTTCTTGGGCTGGTTGTAGAAGGAGGGCGTCGAAATGTTGATGGTGAAGGAGGAGGTCATGCGGGTGGCTGGGGCGGCTGGGTCCATCGTGATGATGCCTTTGAGCCTGCCTCCTCTCGCTCTCGTCTCTCTCTCTCTCTCTGGCTGCGTCTGTCTCTCTCTCTGTTTCCATGGCAATATTCCCGGGGGTTTCTGCACAGCTCAGCACTTATTCCAGGCCCTCTCCTTATGAGGCTGCCCAGAGCAGAGGATTGTGGTCCTGGATCGGAGAGAGGGGACACCAGCCCGCCGCCTAACCCTAATAGATGCCAATAATGAAGCATGGCTGTCTGCATGTTAATGTCAGGGCCTGCTTACTTCTTATTTATAAAGAAACATATGCCGTAGGGTTGTACAAAGTAGTACAGAAGCCCCGGGAGTTAATTATCTATACCAGGACAGATGCAGCTCATTGAAATCCCATCATGTAGTAGTTACTTAGGCCCCGTTCGCACGGAGCGGTTTAACGCACGATTTCCGTTGCGAAATCGCGCATATTTCGGCACGATATCGCTCTATGTAGTTGTCCAATGCATTTCAATGGAGCTGTTCACAGCTCACTGTCGCATGACCCTTTTTTTCCGCAGATGTCGCTCGGTCCGGCTCCAATAGACTATGGTGTCGCACAAAATCGCACATCACTTTGTCACGCGATAGCGTGCTACAGAAGGGTCACTTTTGCACTGCAAAAAATGGAAGGAAAGAATGAGGCCACATCAAGATCGCTGTTGATTGGTTACAGCCCAATGTAGCAGCGACGAAGTCCCACCCAAAAAAACGCGCTAAAATGTGCACTGTCGCTCAGTAACGCGTAATGTAGCTCAAAGCTGCTCAGCATAAAAACGCGCGATACCCATGTCGCTCAGTGTGAATGGGGTCTAAAAGTTTATGTAAACTCTCGCAATAATTTGCTTAACAGCTTTGTATTATACAAATTGCCTCAGGGCTGGTTTCCAAATTGGGGCAACAGTGGTTTGTGCTAGAGTAATATGTATTGCTGTAGTCTCAATCTGAAGCTAATGTGACATGGTGACAACGCAGGAGCACAATTGAGAGACATGGACAGAGCGTTATCACACTAGATGGTCTCATATGCAGGGACGCAAATACAGACAGTAAAATGCGTCTGTATTAGCAGCACCCGGGACATAAAATTGCAGCAGCTGGGGCTCCCATGTGCCTCATATACAGCATCTTACACAGTATGCCCATACACCTGTATTTGTGTCCATACGCATGAGCCCCATCAGCAAGTGTCGGATCAAGGACCGTATGGCAGGATCAGCAGGAATTATCTTAATAAAAGCCGTTATTCAAAATATTAAAATAACTCTTTAAAGTGCTTTTCACTCACCTCATAGTTCTAGCGGACCTGTGATAATGAAACTGTCACAGGTCGGCTCAGTAGATCGGGAGGAGAGCGAACACATGCCGGCGTTCGCTCACCTCTCGATCCTGTCACGGCTCTCTGCCGTGGCAGGGGAGGGGCTGGATTCCCCCCTCCCCGATCCGCCAGCGCTGACTGGCGGAACGGACGGAGGAGGGGGCGGGTACAGCTGGCTCTGCTTCTAGATAGGCAGAGCCGGTTTTCAGTCACGCTGCTGGACGGATCCTGGCACAATTGTCGGGATCCGCTTCAGCTGCGGCGCCTCAGTATACCGCGAGCTACGGCTCGGAACGCATTCTGTCAGCGTACGAGTACAGACACCCGCACCGACGTGCAGGGCGGGTGAGCGTAGGGCGGCGTACGGCCGCGTAGTCCCATAGAGAAGGACAGGGGCTGTGTACTAATCACACGCAGCACTTGTCCTTCCCGGGAGCGGCCCGATACAGCCGTGCACGCAGCACGGAGCTGTACGTGCCGACCGATTCCAGTGTGAATGAGGCCTAAAAAAACAGTAACATGATACACCTTATAAGAGGTTTTAGCGATTGGTTTCTACTTAATTAGGGGCCCTTTACATCCTATTGTTTGAAGCACCATATGCCGTGGCCCTGTACAATGTAGACGTCCTAAATGTTCATCTATCGGGACAGCTCCAGCTCGCCACATCCCATAATAATATTACATTTCTTTAACTAAGGAATACTTTGTTTATATTTGAAAAGCATTGTTTCTATTTGTTTAGTGTTTGGTTTGACTTCTTTTTCAACACCTCAAAATAAAGCTTTAGTCTTAAAGTGACACTAAACTCAGGAGCTAAATCTTAATAAATGCATTCAAGTACCTCCAGGGGCGTCCCGAGGCTGGGCGACCGGGTGTCACCCCGCCGTAACATCATCGCGCCTGTGCGGACGTCTTATTGACGCCTGCCAGCGGCCATCTTGGTGATGGACGCCGGCAGAGAGAGGAGGGGACGTTCACCCAGCGGCATGAGGTATGCCGCCGGGTCCCCTCCTCTCTCGTGACACTGTCGGGCTCTCGGTCCGTAACCGAGTGCCCGACTTTTCATAGGGGGCAACACCAAAATGACTGTCATTTTGGTGTCACCCCTCCAATGGTGGCATCCGGGTGCGGGCCGCACCCCCCTTGTGATGCCACTGAGTACCTCAACTATGAACAACAATGGATCTTATTTGTGTATCACTCGGCTGTAGATCCTCCAATCATCTCTGAATTGGTGCTGACACCGTCCTTCCTTCTGGAGGGGGGCTACGTCTGTTCCCTGTGTGTGTTGTAAAGTAGTCACGGCTCTAAGCTCACTTCCGGATGGACTACAATCTCATGTTTAGTTCACTGATTTGTATTGAGATTGTAGTCCATCCCGGGGGGGGGTGGGGGAGCTTGGAGCGGTGACTACTTTACAACACACACAGGGACCATGGGGAACAGAAGTAGCCCCCCTCCAGAAGGAAGGACAGTGTCAGCACCAATTCAGAGAGGATTTGAGGATCTGGAGTTTGTAGACACCTCACCGTTATACCGATATGATCTTGCTGAACATGCCATTCAAAAACCATGGACATGGACACATCCCTTTTTTTGAGACTAAAACAGCTAGACATGTGCGATTTATTTCGTTCCGAATCAAAAGTCGGACGCATTTTCCAACATTCGGACACCCGGACCAAATTTTCAGTCCCAATGCATCCGAATGTGTCCGAATCCGAATTTTGGTCAAAAAAAATTAAACTGAATGGACATGTGACTTTTCTGGCCAATCAGATGTGTTTTTCTGTTTAATGCATCCGAATGGGTCTGAAAACGAATTTTCGTTACGACATCATAGGAGCCATATACAGTATATACTATATACATGTAATACTAAAGCTGAGGCTCCCAGACCCGAATGGCATTCGGTAACTCCGGAATGCAATATGGAAATTCGGATCCTGAATGCCATTCGGGTCTGGGAGTCTCAGCTTTAGTATTAATATCTGTGGATGGTTTTCGGTGGTATTCGCAACGAATATTCGTAAACTCATCCGAAACGAACGAAAATTCGCATTTCGTCCGAATCCGAAACGAGAACCGAATTGAATTTGGGATCCGAACCCCGAAATAACGAAATATCCGAACCGATCTGAATTTTTCCACAGCTTACATGTCTAATAAACAGCCTCCACTCCTCTAGGAAGATCTTCCACAAGATTTTGTAGTGTGTGCCCATTGCGCCAAAAGGAATTCTGTGAGGTCAGGAGCAGATGTTGGGTGAGAAGACCTGGCTCCAAATTCACCCAAATGTGTTCAGTAGGGTTGAAGTCTGTGGAGGCCACTCAAGTTCCTCCTCACCAAACTCATCACACCAGGTCTTTGTGGAGTTGGCTTTGTGCACGTGGGGGGCACCATCATGCTGGAACAGAAAAGAGTCTTCACCAAATTGTTGTCACAAGGCTGGAAGTGCACAATTGTCTACAATGTCCTTGTATACTATAGCATATGCGATACCCTTTAGTGAACTCCATCATTTTGAGGGGTGTCCACAAACCTGGGCCCATTTAATAGGTGTTGGTGGTCAGGGGTTCCATGTAGTTTTGGCCAGATACTGTATGCAGAACTACATGGATGTCATCCTGTCACGGCTCTCTGCCGTGACAGGGGAGGGGCTGGATTCCCCTCTCCCCGCTCCGATCCGCCAGCGCTGACTGGCGGAACGGACGGGGGAGGGGGCGGGTACAGCTGGCTCTGCCTCTAGATAGGCAGAGCCAGCTGTCACTCACGCAGTTGGGCGGATCTCGACATCGATGTCGGGATCCGCTCCGGCGTCTCAGTATACCGCGAGCTACAGCTACAGTATACTGAGCCTAGGGTGACGGGAGGACGCTAGTTTGTGTCCTCCCGTTACCCTAAGGAGAACTATGGGGAAAAGCCCTGACCCCATAGTTCTCCTTTAATCAATGGATCTAAAGCCTTATATAGTGTGCTGCTGGGACTTAGCTATGAGCCGTGATTGGGCAAAGTCATCATGACTTTGCCCAATCATGGCTCTGCCCAATCATGGCTCTAACAGAGTACTGACCTGAGGTCAGGTGCAAGCCTTTACCCAATTAGAGCTTCAGAAGGCGCATTGCCGCGCGGGATGTTGCGCGGTTGAACAGACCGTGAACATCCCACAAAGTTCGTGCGTTCAGCGAACGCTCGAACTAGCGAACATACAGCCCATCCCTAGTATCTATAAGAACAACGTTGGATAAGATCTTGGTGGCATCTAGAGAACATACTTCTGTGCTAGAGCGAGGGAGTGCTGGAGAGTTAAACTGAAGGGAAAGGCGGCTGAGACAATTGTGTGTGGGGGGTGATTGCAGGATGAGGGTGACAGCTCAGAGAAAAGACAGATGCAGGAGGGAGCGGTGACAGCAGGGAGTGGGTGCAGCATGGTGGATCCGTGGGAGGTGGGGGGCGCTCAGAGAAGGGAGCAATGACAGCAATGAGGAGGAATGACAATGACGTGATGGAGCTACGACAATGGGGAGAGTGAGGTGACCATACAAGCAGAGTGATGGGACCCAGCAATGACGCCGTGACGGGACTTGGAAGCCAGAGCTCCGACAGTAACAAGGGAGAGTGAAGGATGAGCTGTGATACGCAATGACGGAGCATTCAATAAACCCAAGATAA